GTGAGCCCTTGCTTGCCTTCCGATTACAGTGCAACCTTTCTGAGACTGGAAGTCCGGCGCTCACTCTGACTGGCCTCTAAGCCGCATGTAGAAAACGTGCCATGTCGGAGGGCCCGATATTGCGTGGCGAGCTGCAGAAGATGACCTGTTGGACTGGCCTGCCTGCACTGCGGTGACACGGCCACGACGACAGCAGCGCCGCCGCCGCGCCTCCCGGCCGGCCCTCTCAGGTCTGCTGCAGTGTATTGCTTATGACATCCCCGAGCAAGAAACGCCCTGGTTGCTGGGATCTATGTCCTAGGCTGCTGGGATCATTCAATTCTGGGCAAATTCCACCCGCCGCCATGTCTAACCGCTCCTCGCTCTCCCATGTGCACGTTCCCCTCATCTATCCCCTCTTGCGCCTACCAGGATGATTCATGACGGACAATATCCCCAGGTCTTATCATATTCCGTAGCCGCAACCGTTACGGCGCTTTCACCAAGCACCTTTCACCCATCCATCAAACCCCTATCGGGTGTGTCTGCGATGACACCCGTGTCGCGGTGGTCCTCATCGTCTTCATCCGACATGGATTTCTTCCACCATCGCTACCGCCATGAGATGCAACTCTCCGACGACAGCTCGGATTTGCTCGAACCCCCCTCAAGCTCAGGTCGGGACTCCAACGACACCCACAGTACTGCGCCAACTAGCCATCCGAGTTGTCGATCGAATGAGTGTAATGGTCACAATCACGTCCGGTTCGAGGAAATCACACAAGAGTTTGACTACGACGACTACTTCAACAAATTTCGCGAAGACGTAAACGTGTCCGTTGACTGTCCTGGCCGGAGCTTTCTCGAAACCATAAGCCAGATTCCGGTATACGACAAAGACAACAAGCCCAGATCATTTGGAAGCCTCTGGAGCGGACCTACAGCAATAGGCGAAAGACAGTTGATTATATTCGTACGACATTTCTACTGCGGTGTAGGTTGGCCCTTCTTCGATTCCATTTTCGCATCTTCTAACTCCGACAAGGCATGTCAAGCCTATTTGAAAGCCTTGACCAGAACCATCACTCCACAGTCGTACTTCACTATGCCGATTCCGACATCAATCACCGTCATTGGCTGTGGAGGTACGAATATGATTACCCCGTACAAAGAGTACACTGGTTGTCCCTTTCCCATATATGCCGATCCAACAAGAACGCTGTACCATGCGCTTGGCATGTCCTGGACGACGGACTTTGGAAACAAAAGACCAGACTACATGAAAGATATTTCAATCCCCAAGTGGATTTTCGGTCAAATGGTCCAGGCCAACGAGCAGGTGTCAAAACAAGGCATGAAGATGGCCATGAAAAGCGGCCATTGGCTCCAGATCGGCGGAGAGTTTCTGTTTGAAAACGAGGAGGTGATTTGGTGTAATCGCATGAAACACTTCCGGTACGTTTCGAGCACAGCGGGCCGTCCATGAATTATGCTAACCTAGCCAAGGGATCACGTCGAAATACATCGCCTGAAAGAGTTGTTGGAAATCGAGTAAAATCACTGCAACCGCTCATCAGTTCCCGACTGATGCGGCACCGCTCGGCCTCGGACTCGACCACCCTACATGCGCCCGCAGCTTAATACTTAGACCACGAGGTCGCATCAACAGCATTTCCACCGCGAAGCAAAGCCATTGCACTGTTGCTTTCCCAAATCCTGCGAAACGACTCCCTAGCGCATCGAACGCTCAAGGCAAAACGCCAAATCTAGCTCGATGTTGCATCATCAATCTGTGCGTTTAGTTGAAAGATGAGCAAAGATGCGACTTCTCAGAGTATCCCACCAGCGAGGAATGTCGCAACGGCACTTCGTTCACCAAAGGTGGAGGCGGAAGCGGTTCCAGACCGGCTGTCGTCGAGCTACGCTTTGAGGTATCTCTCTACATAATATCATGCATCCGTAATTCGAGATGACTGCCGGAGCCATTGCGCGGAGGCTTACTGCGCCAGCCGGTGCCCGCTGATCTGGAGTAAGACAGCTCTTGCCGTCCGTGTCATTGAATCTTTCGTGGCCATGAGTTGAATACCACTTGGAAGCCTTTCCCATGTTTAGCATACTTGTATTGTAGATTAGTTGAATACCCTCGTTATTTTGTAAACCACTAGTTTTGGAATCTCTCGCTGGCATCATCATTTCACTTTACCTCGTTCCCAATCCTGAACTGCTCTTTGTACTCAAAACGATCGTTATGAAAACGGTGATGTGGACAGTCCTAACCCTCTTCCTCAACAGCCTTTGTACTACAGCGCTATTCAACAAGTGGTGAAATCGCCTTGGCCAGGCCGGGCGACGGCCAGATTCCTCCCGAGAGTCGATTAAGCATACATGATACAAGCCTACAGGTCGCGCCAGATGTCGCGGCGGGCGCGAGGGACCCTCTTGTAAATCATCTAGTCACCACTGAATACTCCATTCTCATTGGCCAGTAGACGAAAGTTCAAGCCCAACGCTTCAGAAAGCGAAACGAGATTTCAATCTCTTTGGTCGCGATTCCAATCAAATCGCGATTTACGTCTCTTCTCTTCGCTGGACTTGCACATTTCGAGCGCAGAGCAAAAGCAATTCCAAGCAGATGCCGATTCAGACACAAGTATTCAACGTACAACATTTTCCCATTTACCAACCGGCCCAACGGCTGCGTTAAAGGCATGAGAAGCTGGCTGACTGACTCGCATGTGGCCAGTGCCAAATTAGGCTATAGTGACTATCCAGGGGATTGAAAGTAAAAGGGCTGGGAAAAGAAGCTCGTTCAGCTTTCCTGAGTTACTCATCGTACTTGGCTTGACAGCGACGAGATGCCACCGTCATGAGGCTGACAAACTTCCGGTCGTAGGGCTGCTCCGGCGTCAGTGCTCCGTGTATCAATATCGCATCTCGAAGATCATCTAGCCCTGTCGATGGCCAGTGTTTGCTTCGCCGCCACCGTACTGCACTGACGACGACATCTCGCAGATTTTGAAACTCGCTCCCGTTCATCAGATTCTGAATGAATGCGCAGTACGAGCAGATGCAATAAGCGCGAGCGTGGAAAACGTCGACGATGCTCCCGAAACGGTCAACAATTCCGTGCAACGTTTGCGACTCTTTTTTCACTTGCAGCTCCCAGCAGCTGGAACAAACTCAGGCACAGGCACGTCAAAGCTCTGCTTCTCGTTTAGCTCGAACCGGACCAGCCAGTGGCCTTGAAGTCAGTAATTTACACAACGGCCTGACAGCGTCCTCGTGCAGCATCCCAGCGCGGACGCATATAGCCCAAGACACTAGCACTGGGCCCGTCGATCGCAAACCCCAGATTCGTCGCCGTCCGGTACGAGGCGCGGGAGCGCGCGCGCACGCGTGTCAGGCACCCCTGGACCATCCATCGCATCGACCCCTGCCGAGCTGGCCCAGGTATCGCTCACTGTCAGGCACCTTCAGCACAGGGACAAGACACAGCCATTTTCTGCCAGCGCGGCCACGGCGGGAGCTCCGTGTCCTCCCGCCGCCGCCGCCGTCACCGCGCTTCCTCTCAACCACCAACCATAGCCCCAAGCTCACGCTGACCCCACGCCGACTCGAGATCCCACTACCATTCAGTGGTCAGTCACTCAGTCACTCAGTTGCATCAACCCAAAAAAAGCAACGTGCAATCAAACACTCGCAGAAATCCCTAACCCAGCGGTCTCTTCGAAACTCCCATCCGCGCCGCCAATTGGAGCACACACTCATCGCACATCGTCAACCATCTGTCTCGTCGCCCCCATCGTTGGCCTAGCGGCGAAAAGAAGGAGATGGAATGCCAGGTAGTGGCCTTGCCCGGCCGTTGCTCTCCCGTCGCCGCAATTTCCACTCCGCAAGGCTATTCAACCCCCCTGTGCCCCTGCGATCTGTTGTCTGTCCCGAGCGTCGTATTTGCCTGCGTATTTGCCTGATTGTGATTGGACAAGTCGCCCGCTCGCTGCAGCTTTTGAGGTGCAGTCCGAGCGTTTTTGTGATTGGCTGGATTCTTTGATTATGGTGTTTGGGGCGGGAGGTTTGCGGCAACGCGAGTCCTCGAGTTGGCTGAGAAGAGCTGACGGGACCCTTTGAAGGCTCACTCAGCTTCTGGTCATTTCAAACAGATTGTGAGGGCGACCCTGAGCTGCTGACGGACAAAGAAAGAGCCAGAATAGATTCATATAGCCAATTTGTGACATATGATTCTTAAGCTAGCCCGGCTGGCGCAATCGGTTAGCGCATCAGACTTTTAATCTGAGGGTTGCGAGTTCGAGTCTCGCGTTGGGCGGTTTCTTTTTTGCTTTTTACTCCTTTTCACCCCTACGTAGCGACAAAGGGCTCTTCTTTTTGTCAATCCAGACGTCTCACCATGTGTTATACTTTAAATTAAAGTGACTGGTGCATGGGGACAAGTTGTAGAGGAAGGAAAGTCGCGAGAGCGGCGAACACGCACGAAGAAAAGAGCAAGACAAAGGCAGAGATTTTTAAGCGAGCAATATAGGAAACTCACCATTTCACAACGCTCGGGTAGAATTTGCTCTTCGGGACATGCAAGGCTTGCTTTGCTGGTCGTGGGAGCTGTACGCGCAAAGTGTTGGTGCTCTGTCGGTCAACAGCAATGCCGGAAGGCAACGCGTCGGGGCTCACCACCCATAGCCACATGGCTTCCTTTCTATTGTCTTGCCAGCTTGAACCGTCATTTCTCAACCCTTTGCTTGTACAATGAGGGACTGAAAGTGCGTCCTTGAAGGCCAACAGAGCAGATTTTCGCACACTTCGCCGACGACGGTAGAGGAAGTTTCGTAGGGCGGAAGAAATGCAAGAATGTAACTCCTTTTAAGTCATGACCATACCATGTGGATCCATTGCTGCCAGTAGAGTATCAGGAGGGCTGAAATACCCCCTGCTCGCTCCGGGCCCCCTGGTCGGCTCCTCTCGCCGCTGTAATGTCATGACGGTCTTGTGGCAACAATACGACAACACTAGGCGTCATGGCGGAGTGGTTATCGCGATAGACTAGAAATCTATTTCCTTCGGGAGCGCCAGTTCGAATCTGGTTGACGTCGAAAGCGGTGACTGGCCTCCAGTAGGCCAGCTATCCAGTTAGGATTACCTTTTTTGGCTCTTTTGGCTCTTTTGTCTCTCTGCCAACCGACTGCTCCACCATTTGATGGGTGGATTGGTCGCAGGAAAGACAGTGCGGGTTGCGAAGCGATTGGGGGAGAACATCTGTCGTCCTCTGCGTTTTGTGCTTTGCGTTTGTCCGACGCTGTTGGTGGAGAGTGGAGACGCGTTCCAGGCAAAAGTGAACAAAATTTTCAGGGGCTTGACAAGGCCGACATTTTGCCGCTTTTTTGAGTGCCGGGGCGTTGGATGGTAGTAAAGAAGACGACTTTGTTGGTTGGCTGAAAGTTGTAAGATCGAAGTGAAGAGTCAAGGTCGGCCTGTTGAACGAACGATTGAAGGATCTTGAACGGAGAAATCACTGTTTAAATGTTGATCATGGAAATTGCTGCTGTGGTGACAGATTGAATTTGCAAGTGCTGACTTCGTTCGGACGCGGCAGCGTTTGAACCCATTTCTCCTTTGTGAATCCAGCGTGTCATCATAAGCCGTAGTCGGAGACGTCGTCGTCGTCAAAGTCGTGCATGCCCTCCTGCACGACCTTCTCAACTTCTGCGGCAGCCCTTCCAACCATGCCTCCTTCCTTTTTCGCAGACTTGAGCCCATTCTCAAGGGCCGGCCGTGCCAGCTTGGCAAAGGCGCGCTGCCGGCCATGGCGATCGGTATACATGCGATTGTCCTCATCCGGCGGCGCACCGAAAAGATTGAGGTGGTCGAAAGCATTTTGGGGCGTGTGCAAGTGATGGTGTGCTTGGTGAAGCGGAAAGCACTGTCGTCTGAGCCGGTCTGCCTCTTCCTTGGCGCGCTTCTTCTCTTCAGGGTCCTCGACAATACCAGTCCTCAAGAAGGTCGCGAGGGAAGTGAGCTGATGGGCGCGCAGTTTTTTGAGTTTTTCAGAATCCGAATGCGAGGCGCCGACAGTGCTGGCTGCAGTTGACCACTTTTGCGGCGCAGACGAAGAGACGGGCTCTCTGAAGCCAAGAGTCGAGTTGAAACATTTGAGAGTATGGACCCAACCGCCAGCACAAGAGACGGTGTCTTTTGGGTGGCTTTTGAGCAGCCAGTCGAGGACGTCCAGGCTGGAAAGACGAATCTCCATGGACAGAGACGTCATGCCCGCGCGCGTGCGAAGAACAAGGTCCTCAACATACGGCTTGACATCGTTTGGAGGGAGAACTTGGAGCAGCTTGAGCAGCTGTTCTCGCACAGATTTGGCGTTGTCGTAGATGAGCGTCCCAGCCTTTGGGATGATTACTGAAACTGGTTGCGGGAGTGGCACATTTTGAGCGCGAGCGGTGTTTATGGCGCCAGTCAAATAGGCCAGAGCCTCGCGCCTTTGCGTGTCTGTCTTGTGCGACAACAGGCCCAGATAATGAGCGCACTCTGCTACAACGCCTTGCGGAGTCGTGTGGATCGACTGGCTTTTTACGACGATTGCTGTCCAAAATTAGCAAAGGCTTCGTGAAAGTCTCCCGCGACCCTCTTCTCAGAAGACCTTGAGTGATCCTCGCTTCATAATGTCTCCCCAACTGGATGCTCTCCAGTTGTGTCGTCCCAATTCCACGACCGCTTATGCAGCGACTTTGAAAAGGCGCCGGAGAGCACTTTGAAACTCTTTTCGAGCAGCAGAAGAGGGAGGAAAGCAAGACTTACACTTGGCCTTGAAACTTGTGTCGGTGTAATTATCGGCCTTTGGCTTCGCCTTGCCGACCTTCAGCTTTGGCTTCTGAAAGTCCTTTTGCTTTTCCTTCTTTTTCTTGGAGCTGGAACCCATGTTTTCAGCCGCTGTCGAGAAGCCTCTTCCTTCGTCTGATTCGATAAGCGTGTGTCTGCTCCGGCAGCATCAGAGGCCTCAATTCTGCGCGAGACCGATCAACATCTGCACCTTAAGTGCCTGGCGGAGGACGTTGTCGAGGCTCGGCGCGCATGCTGCTGGACTTTTTGTCCCGCGCTTCAGCCCTACGGCCCGATTGGGAATGGCGTCCGCGACCGCGACTCACCGCCTTCTACTGTACTCATCCAGAGCTCCAAGCTCTACTAAATCAACAAACAAATTGTCAAGCTTCTCTCCCTTCTTTCGGATCCGCGCCTGATTTCTGAATCCAAGTCTCGCAATGACACAAATAGTGGCAAGTAACACCTCGCTTGTCACCATGTTCAAAGCTAACCAAGCTCTAAACGCCAGCCCTCCGAGACGCTGTCCCTCCTTACGCGGCTGAGCCAGAAACCCGGCGTGCAATCGACCCTTGTCCTCGAGCGTGAGACTGGCGCAATCGTACACACTTCTGGCTTCGCGTCCTCCAATGCGGCTGCCAACCCCAACGCAACGCTACCGCCTTCGACAACGGACAACACACCCGTAGGAGGAGGTATTGCCAACACCAGCGGAGGGCGCAAAGAAAGCGGAATCAAGAGCGCCGAGGACGTGGCGCGGATGGTTTACGGATTCATCCAGTCGGCAGGGACACTGGTGCGCGAGCTAGAGGAGGAGGACGAGGTCAAGCTGTTGCGGTTACGGACGCGCAAGAACGAGCTGGTTGTTGTGCCTGGTAGGTCACCCACATTGATGGGGACACCTGGCTCAAAGGCATTTGGAGCTGGAGGAGAATGGGTAGCTGACGATATAATGCGATCACAGACACCCGTTTCATGATTGTCGTCATCCACGATACACCCCCAGCGGCGTAGCCAGGCAGCCTCTGTTCAGTTGGGCCGGACAGTTTATGAGCGGTCACCAAGATACCCCCTTGCACGGATGTACGGCGTTACGGAGTCACTACATCTACAACCTAATTCTGCGCAGCAAATGGATGCGAGCGATTTGCACATTTGGGACAGCAACAACCTTCACCAATGCTCCACGCCAATGCTAACACTATTAACATCAACGCCCTCCCTGAACCACCTCTCGCCCTCCGCAATCTCGACATCATTCCCACTCATCTGGCGCTTCTCCATGCGCCCATCCGCCGCAAACGTCCAGTCCTCCAGCCCGTAGCACCGCTTCCACTTCATCCCGTCGTCCTTGTCCTGATACTCGTACCAGAACTGCACGGCAATCTTGTTGCCGGTGAAGGCGAAGAGCTCCTTGCGCAGGCGGTAGTTGTGCTCGCGAGCCCACTTTGCGGACAGGAAGGCGTGGATGGCGTCGTGGCCACGCACAAAGGTCGACCGGTTGCGCCAGACGGATTCGGTCGTGTAAGCTTGCACGACAGCTGAGGGGTCGCTGGGATGTGTGTGAGGTCGGGTCAATGGACACAATGGGACAAGGCGGGGATGTTGATGTGTCGCTATTTGTATGGCGGCGAAGGAGACGAGAAGTTGGAGCAAGAGTAAGGAGAGAATGGAATTGGTACATAGGCAATGAGATGATGTAGAAAAGAGTTGTCATCGTACCGCGTGTTCCACAAATCCTGCGCCTTCTTGACCTTGGCGTGTGCCGTCTCCTGTGTGAACGGCGGCGCCAGCGACATGGCGACGACCAACGGTGCGAACAATATAAAAGACTCTTGCCAACGCGTCGGGAAATGACGAGGCAAAGCGGATGGACGCAACGAGTTGTAGCAATGGAGGCTTTGTCGTCGTTTGCTCTGACAAGTTGAGATGACGGCCGTGGGAGATGCAAAGATGACTGTTCAGTGCACAAGCTAGTCAGCCGGCGCCAGAGTGCTTTTGGAAGCTGCGTGTTACTGCCTTGTGATGTAATGCCGTTAACGTTTGTGCGCCCCTTGGTCAGGCCGACTGTGGGGAACGAGGGGCCTGGACTTTTCGGTCGTTTACCCCACATTGCTTCTCTCTTGGATTGCGGTCTTGATGGGGGCTGACTGGCATTGGGTCTGTTTTGTTTTTGTCTATCGTGGAGAATGTGCGTTCACTTGATCAATTGGGGAAGTAAACTACACTTGTTCTGCGAGCAGCTATCCCAGGACCAAATTTCTGTACAGTCTGTGTTCAAAGAATAAACAGAATGTACAGTCTCAAAGTCCATTACAGCAGCCAATTACTGGATTCTTATTACTCCAACCCACGCTCCTTGTAGAATTCATGCATTTCCGACCTCGTCTTGAACCACAGTGCCCTCAAGATCTCTGGCGGTCCTTTCATACCCAACTTTTCATGCAGACTCTTTACTCCGGCCGCTAGATCTGCCTCGCTCGGCCACGTCGCGCTCCAATGCCAGTCCAGCTCAGTCCAGGGCATGGCGCCCCCGCGGCGGAATACGTAGTTGAGCAGGCTCTGCTCCATGGTGTGCGGATCGAAGCGATGGTAGTGCTGCATGACGGACAACAGAAGCTCGAAGAGCGGCCCAGATGGCGCTGCCACCCAGAAGCCGGCGGAGAAGGTGTCTGTAGAGGGTGGCGGGACGGGATGTGCGCGCTGCCCGACAAAGTCATTGTCCGAGCGCGCAGCAAAGACGTAGGATGCAGGCGGAGGCGCCTCATCAGACTTGAGGGCTGCGGTAAGGTTGAAGTTGGTGGTCGAGGCATTGAAGACGCCTGGCTCGTGGAAGACGGCGTCCAGGGGTCCTGTCAGGAGCGTGTCGGCGTCGAGAAAACAGACGCGAGCATACTGCGTCATCTCAAGAAGACGCAGCTTCGTGAATTGGTCGCGCCAGCGCGTCACGCCGGTTTTGATCCACCAGGAAAGCGGAATGTCATCGACGGGAACAACGGTGGCGCCATCTGCCTCCAAGCGGGCACGCTGAGGCTCGGGAATCTCTTTGGTCGTAAGAACCAGAAAGTCGATGAGAGGATTGCGAATCCGAGTGGAGTCTGCATGGAGCAACTGGTACGTCAAGACCCGCGTTGCTGCGTAGTAGAAGTTCGAGTTCTCCGGGTCGTCTTGATCTTCATCTGGGTTGCCGCTGAGAAACGTCGCTATGGCGAAACGAGAGGATGTCGCTATCTCTTCCAATTGACCATATTCGGGATCGACGACTGCA